TACTCCTCTCCGAAATAAAACGACTCGGGCGCGCGCTCACGAAGGGGTTGCGGAAGACCGCGGGAGAAAGAGAGAGAGAGAGAGAGAAAGAAAGACTTTGCAGGCCGCGCTAAATCGGCCGGGAATCGTTAAGGTCCGCCGAGCGAGAGAGCGCGTGCGTACAGCGAGAAGCGGCCGTCGACACACCGGCTCGCCGATCGGGGAGCGCGAAGGCGGTTATTAAGCCGACATTTGCATCCGCGACTAATAGATTTCGCGAGAGTACGATCGCGATTTTTCCAACGCCGCCGGCGGAAAATTGCACAGCGCCCGAGCTGGCCGGCACTTATCCGCGGGGATCGTTAAGAGAGTCGCGTTTGCGACGGCGCGGACGATCGCGAAACTCCGCAGACGCCAATCGATTTATCGCGGACGATGATCGGTGGCGACGGACTGTCGATGCGAAAAATGAAGGAGCACACGCGAATAAAGCATTGCGCGAGAGAGCTCTTGAGCGGCGCTTGCGATCGCGTTGTATCACGGAGTAATGATTTCTCCGTGAACTCGTGTGTAACCGAGACCGATTAATGAAAGCTCGATAACGTATCTGAGATAATAAAAACGTAGTTCCACGTATCGCGTACGACGTGCAAATAATTTAACGATTCCGACTTCGACGCGCGTTCGTTTCATACGATACGTTAGATAGCGCGTTGTCATGACTTTTTGCGTGTGCACGCGATATCGAATTAATCGGGAAATTAATATATATTTTACGCAGTTATCTGCCTTGTATCAAGGAAAGCGCGACGACGACTTGCGACGGCTTTATCTTATCTGGTAAAACACTCAAATTATTGCATGCTGTATTAAATTATTACTCGCGTAACAATTTGTAATTGCAGTTCTAATTCTCTGTCACGTTTTCGTGCTTCCGAATTCGCTTTGTTTGACTGCAAATCTTCCGTTAGTCGCGCGTCCTCGTGGTACACAAAGATGTATTGAGAAAAAATACTTGAAAATTTCTTTGTGGGATACAAAATTTACTTTTCTGTGAGTGAACTTTATATCCCACAAAGAAACTTTCAAATATTTTTTTTTAATGTGAAAATTTCTTTAAGCATTCTATTATTTAAAAGGAACATTCAACATTTTTAAGAAACATGTTAGTCTTCACAATTTTATGCAGGTTATATCTTATGGCAAGGTGGGGCAAAAATATGACGCATGTTACTCCAACTCCTACTTTGTGCTGTACAAAGTAGCTTGCATACTTGGAAATTTGTTTACGGGGGGAAAGAGAATATATAAAGTTTATTTCTTTTATCCCGCAAATAAATGTTCAATCGTTTTTTGCTCAGTGTAGCCGCGACTACCGGAAGATTAAACGGATCGGTTACTCATGCAAGACGGTAGCACGATCGGTTCGCTTCCGCGGCGAGGAACATCGCCTGCTGAAGTTCCCCCGACGGAGACAATTGGTCTCGAGGAAGCGGTGCTTCTTGTGCCGATTTGGCGTTCGATGATCGACTCGCGCGATACCGGCGCAATATAAGCGAGAGACGATCCGCGTCGATATCGAGGTGCCATTGCACGTCGGACGGAATATACGGCGGACATCTCGCCGATTCGACTCCGGTTTCCACTCGCGCTATAGCGGTAATGTCATCTCTCTGTAACGTCATCCCCGATACACCGCCGGGATTCACCTGGCCTTTAACTCCCCGTCTGATATATCCAATAACAATGTCGCGCCGCGCTCTACTCCTGACGTTAATCTGTGCTCCTCTCTCGGCCACGTTCGTCGATCGTCCATCGATTTGTCGCCGTCGTCCACCGAGTGGTACGATCGCGCTCTATTCAGGTCGCTTGACCTGCGTGCGAACATGTGTTCGCTCACGTTTCACGGCAACGTCGTGTCATAATTTACCCGAGAACCAAAACTCGTCCGAGTGCAAGTTACGTTCATCTTCGCCGACGACGAATCGATTAGTCTACATACTGAGAAAAAATATTTGAACATTTATTTGTGGGGTATAACATTTTTTCCGTGGAATAGTTTCTTTCTGACATTTTTATCTCACAGACGAATTTATTTTTCTCTCAGTGCACCAAGAAAAGAACACTCGAAAATTTATTTATTGCGGGATGCAAAATTTATTTCTGTGAAATAAGCTTCTATCCCCTACAGAAAATTTGCAAGTATTTTGTTTTCAGTGCACTGAGAAAAGAATACTTGAAAATTTATTTATGGAGTACAAAGTTTATTTCTATATATAATAAACTTTATTGAACAAACTTTATATCCTACAAATAAATCTTCAAATATTTTCTTCTCAGTGTATTTAACTTTCTCATCTTTAACTTTCTCATCCTTTCAAGTTTCACAGTGAAAGGGTCGATAAAGGGATTTCAAGACACACACGATACGGGGCATTCGATCGTTGAGCGTATCAACCCCGACGCGCAACGTCGTGTTTCATCCCCCGCGTGGGCGCGTAATTGATCGAGTATCGCGTATAACAATAAAAAAAAAGAATTAATGGTAATAGTCGTGAACTTCCTTTTTGATTCACGCTGAATATGGGATTCCGTTTTTCGCGCGCATTGTGCGCCACCGTGTCTGCACGCGCGCTCACGCCAATATTCTCATATTTATTTATGCAGCCGCATTGTAGCGGCCGACCGCGCGGCGCATCGCGTATGCATTGTGAATCAGCTCGCGCAATAGAGGCATATTGTGTGCGTTCTTGTTTCTCTGTTCACCCATTCATTGGCCATATAAAAAACTTAACCAGCCGTAGCGGCCGATGCCGATGAATATCGTTCGCGTCGTCGCGAATTATCGTGAAATTAAGCGTCAGCCCTCTGTCGCAGCTTCTCGCTCGTTTCGCTCATCCGTTCCTAATTACTTACAATGGTGCCGCGCTCATTAACGCCGCGTTTAGTCGTCGAGACCAAATAAAGTTGACTTTTGACACCTCGTTATCGCCGCGTTTAGCCGTCGGGCCGAGTCAAGTAGATCTTTGACACCGCAAATCGTTGTTATTCTGGTCTATATGTTATAACAAGCGGCCGATATCGATACTACTATTACTTTATTCTCTTATTCTTGAGAAAAGAATTGGACCTTTTTCTTACATTTAAAATCTTGAATCGTTTTGTAGACGAATGTTTTAAACTTAAATTTCCCAAATGATTTTCTTAGACACATTCCTGTATTTCAGATTGAAAAACTTTAGAATTTTATTAAATATTATATGAATTTCTTAATATTTACATATATATATATATATTTTTTTAAGATTACATAATATCCTTGTCAATGAGTATTTTTCTAGGCTGGACTTGTTCAGTGAAAAGCTATCGTTTTCTAAACGCTTAAATTTTTTCAATTCTCACCACGTTGGAAAAATAGTGAGTAGAGAGATAAATGAATGAATAATTTTTAATATTTGATCACTTTCTCTATATTTTGTCTCTGTATTAACTTGTTTATTTATTTATTCTCATTTTTCCCAACTTTGTCTATTCTTTTCGGCCGCTTATATATTTATCCATTCATCCATATTCCGATTATTATTTCATATATAATTTCATTGTCCTCGCGCTACATTAATATTCTGTATAATTAAATGATACTCCCGTTAAATATTCTATTGTATCACGATATTTTTAGGGAAGATTTGCTTTGTCTCGAGACAAAAGAACAGAGGTATATTGTGTATCTCTTAATTTCTTTCTTTTCTCCCTGATTAGTTCGGCTTTCGAGCTAGGATTCAATCGAGGCAACGCATACGTTCCCGATTCGCGACAGCAACCACCCCCGTGTAGCTCGTATTCGCGTGAACTGCGCAGTTGCGCTCGAGTGTCGTTTCGTCGTGTCATACGCGCCTTTACGGCCCAGAGGTGCACGCGCGCGCCGAGGCACTTGTGTGCGTGAGTCCTCTCACTCTCTCCCTCGTCGAGATCCAGCCACACGCTACGTGCTACACGCACCGCTATGTTCGAGACCGTGTCGCGCATGCCGCACAAATGCACTTGCATCTTCCGTGGGCACTGCGAATGTCGATATTTGCCGACGAAACTTCGCGAGCAACTTGACTTCATTTAATTGCGAAACGCGGAGGACGATATACCGGCAAGCGTATGAAGAACGTAATCTGGAGAAATTGCGAAAGTTCCGAGGGAACGCACAGTACGTCTTGCACATTTTTTGCAAACAAATTTACGTAACATTCAATTTTGATAAAAAAATTAAAAAAAAAAAAAAATATATATATATATATATATATATATATATGTATATATATATATAT